CCTATCTCTATTTTGTGTTTTATCAAATCAGTATTCAAATTCTAATGCAAAGCTTTACATGGAAATTAGAAGCAGTGTCACAGCAACATGTAATATAATATCTGCCTTGGATATCATTAGCTGAGATCTTGAGAGGACTAAAGGTGGTTTTCACAAAGATAACTAAGACTCTGCCTTGGAGTACAACTGGAAGTCTCCCATTCCTTGCCAGTGGTCAATAATACAGGAAAAATAAATTAATTGCATATTGGATGCATGTTATCTATAACAGGTCCACTGTATATCAACCAGTCTGAGGTATACTGAAGGCAGATTCCCTATCAGAAGATTTGGCAAGCATATTAAATAATATGTTTATGATCATTACTGTTGGAAATTTTATAATGGGAATTTTGGGAAATGGATTTGTTGTACTGGTTAACTGCATTGACTGGAGTAGAAGCTGCAAATTCTTCCTGATTGATATTATTCTCACCTGTTTGGCTATTTCTAGAATACTTCTGCTATGCATAGCAATTTTGAGTATTGGCTTGAATGCAATCTATGAGAAAATATTGTACAATAATAACCTGCTGATAAGTTTTCCCCTGCTGTGGACAGGACTCAGCTATTTCTGCATGGCCTGTACCACCTGCCTCAGTGTCTGCTATTTCCTTAAGATAGCCATCTTCTCTAATCGCATTTTTCTCTGGATGTAGTGGAGAATTCACAAGGTGCTTTTCTTTATTGTACTGGGGGCAACCATCTTTTTCTGCATATGCCTTATTTTGAAGAATTCAGTAGTTAAAAGACAAATCAAAGACCAGGTAAAAACTGAAAGCACTTCAACATGGAACTACACAGTGAGACTACAGAATTTGTTAACTTTTCAGGTGCTCATTTATGTGGTGTTCATCATACCTTTTGTAGTGTCACTGACCTCTTGTTTTCTTTTAATCCTTTCCTTATGGAGTCCTACCAGACAGATGAAGGGCACAAGTTCTAGGGATCTTAGCACAGAGGCCCATGTGAGATGCATGAAGTCTATGATTTCATTCTCACTCCTTTCTGTGATGTACTATTTGAGCAATAATATCATAGGATGGAACTATGCTCTTCTAGACAACGTTGTGGCAAAGATATTTGCTGCTATTCCTATTTTGTTCTATCTATCTGGCCACTTCTTTCTTCTTATTTTATGGAACAGCAAGTTGAAAAAGGCTTCTCTCTGTGTCCTGAGGAATCTGAAGAGTTGCATGAATAAAATGAAAACTGCATTTCCATTAAAAAAAAAAAGGATTAGAGATTTGGTCTTTATGACTCTTAGCTATGGTTTAAATTTTTTTGAGGGGAAGTTTCTACAAAGTCTACCACCATATTTACTATAGCTAATTGTAGCACTTACAGGTGTTGATGAAGACATCTGTCCACTATTATTTGAAGTGTAAGTGTGTGATGTCTGAAGTGTTCCAAAGAGCCTGCCTTGTCTTTAAAAAGACAAGTGGTCAAATGAAAGATTAATTCAGGCTAGAAGACTTTCCCTAAGAAGGAAGAAATTTAAGGCATGAGCCTTTTCTGTATCCTGTTAGGACAGGTGGGAACTGTTCAGGCTCTGGGCTGCTCTGAAACAGAGAGAAATTAGGAGAGTGTGGACATTTGTTCTGGGAGTAAGAACCAGATGGAAACAGGAAGATAATTAGTGTATGTGTTCCATCTAGCAGGTTAGAAACAACTAAAGCACATGCATTGCCCCCTGAGAGAGAAAGATAAAGCTGTTATGTATATATTAAACACACACACACACACACACACAGAAGTAAAAACTCAGAGGAAAAAATACCTGATTTGTTGCCTTAAATGTTTTTATTTTGCAAATCTAACCAACTACTCTTTGTCTAAGTAAATAATTTTTAATAGTGGTATAAAAAGTGAATGAATTTATAAAAAAAGAGGTTTCCTCCTGAGCATAGTCTAAAGTCTGTGTCTTTGTGGTCCTAATTAGCCACCACTGATCTTCTCTTAAAGGATCCCTGGTGGTACAGTAGTTAAGCACTCAGCTGTAAGCAAAATGTTGGTGATTTGAACCCACCAGCCACTCCACAGGAGAAAGACGAAACAGTCGGTTTCCATAGAAATTTATAGCTCTGGAAACTTTATAGGGCAGTTTTACTCTGTCCTGCAGGTTGCTACGAGTCAGAATTGATTCAATGGCTGTGGGTTTGAAATTCTCATTGTGACCACAAGAGGGCAGATGTGGCACCTGGGGGGAATTACCAAGTCTCTTTCATCCCTACCTGCTCCAAACTCATCTCCTTTGAAGTGACTTCCCTATCACAGTATTCCTTTTAAATCTTCCTTTAATTTTACTTGTGGCTCAAGGAAACCAGAAGCTAATGATCTGTGTACTGTTAAGTGTTGTTTTAAATAAAAAACGAGGAAGATGGGAGTGAAGGATGTCAGCTACCAGAACAAGCCTCACACAGGTAGTTAATGAAAATGGAGGCAGGGTTCTGAGAAAGTATGAGCTTCCATAGGGCTAAACGTGTTCCCCTCCATTGTTGTCCCTGTGCCCACTCAGTTTCCACATCCAGGTGAGTCTGTCTCCTTAACATCTCTCTCATCTACTTTTTCTGTTTCTTAAGGAAAAGCATAGAACTTGTAAACTGGCATTGTTATCTCCTAATAACAGTGAGATTTAATAAGATAATGTATGCAAATCTCTCAGCTCTATGCCATAAACCAACGAAACCAAACTCTATTTCATGGAGCAGCTGGTGGGTTTGAACCACCAACATTTTGGCTAGCAGCCAAGTGCCTTAACCACTACATCACCAGAGCTCCTTCTGGCTGGAAACTGTGAGGGTTCAATAAAAGTTAGCCCCACCCATTACGAGAGTGACAGGGTTTGCATTCTCGTGCTTATTGTACCTGTGTAACTTAAGGTGGATGTGACTACTTATTTGTAAATTAGAAATCATAATTCCTGATGTAAGGAAATTATTTTTGGGGTTCAAAAATAAAGTATGTGAAAAGCATTTTATGAGCAGTAGCATTCTGGACAGATGATAGTTATTATTCAAATTTGCATTTCTTCTCCCACATTTCCTCAGTATAGAGTTCACTATGTCTGCCTGTATATTTACATTTTTATGCTGCTTTTTGACATATGAAAATTGTATTATGGAGATTTTATGTCAATAAACATCCTCTAAAATGCAAATAATAATAATAAAAATAAAAAGTCCACCTCAGATACCACCTCCTCCATGAAACCTTCCTCTGTTTCCCTTGACAGCACAGCCTCCCAAACTTACTAGATCCTAAGACTCTCCTGGGACATTTACAATTCCAAGGCTCTACTCCAGGGGAGTGAGGTGTAGTAGGTTTGGGAGGAGCCCAGGGATCAGTATTATTACCAATCATCCCAGGTGACTTTTCTGCTCAGGAAAGTTTGGGACCAATAGTTTTAAATATAGTTCTTTTTGTTTGTCATGGATCTCTTCTAAGACAGTAAGCTTTTTGAGGGTGAAGTCTGATTCATTTGTATATTTCACCATAGTGTGCCTACAGTGCATGTCTAAAAACAAAAATTTGGCCTCATGGCAACCTCATGTGTACAGAGTAGCACTGATACATAGGGTTTTCTTGGCTGTAATCTTTATGAAAGCAGATCATCAGGCTTTTCTTCCATAGCATTGCTGGTTGTCTTTAAACTGCTAAGCTTCATGTTAAAAAAAAAAACTGTTTATGCCACCCAAGGATCTATGTCTAATGTCCTTAAGAATATTTGGATAATAGAAGACTTCCAGTAAGATGGCAGAATAGTCAGACAAGCTACACAGACCCTCTTCAACAAAGAAAAGAGAAACCAATTGGCACAGATACAGAAGATAATTGTGGAGCCTGGAGTTTTGAAAGGAAGGATACAGAAGTGGATTAGACACCAACTAGTAGAAGAAGCTGGACTATATGAAGAAAAACGTGGTATCAGGATTGAAGGAAGAATCATTAACAACCTGAGATATGCAGACGATACAACTTTGCTTGCT